CTTCTACTTTAGCTAAAGTGACAAAGCGTAGGGTGTCAACATTTATTGTCGAAGTTATCAAACCTGGTATTAGTCTCGATAGTTTGGTAATCAGAAGAGGTTTGTCCACTATGCATTGCTTGATAGAAATCTACAACAAACTTATCTCATGCTGAAACCCATAACTATTAGCACGCTAGCACTAACAGATTTCACTAAAGCGTTTGATCTTGCTGATCATCGCATTGCTTTTAACAGACTTCTTAGTATAAATGTTGCTCTTTCTATCCCGTAACGGATCGTCGATTTTCTCTCTGTGAGAAGACAAAGAGTCAAATACATGAATGATTTTTCCAAGTGAGAAACACTTACAGGTGGAGTGAGTTCCTTTGCTCCCATAATTTGTGTTTGTGCCATTAATACTGCAATGAATTTATGTTCAAATCGGGTATCCAGGTTTGGAAGTAGGTGGATGATCTAACACTTAGAGAAGGTCGAGCTTTTGGGTGGACCAAGTCAAATCCAAGGTGGATTAGCTGCACTCCACCAATGGTCTAAGACCAATAAACGGGCTTAACCCCTCTAAGTGCCAGATCATGCAGCCGTAATTTGAACGAAAGTTCTGGGGCTAGAGTCTCTCAGCAGTAGCGGCGCTGGGATTTTCCCGACGGCAGAGCAATGCACCCGACAGGCATGGCAAGAGTTGTAGTTTGGCGTAGCCCCATCCGAGGGGCGTGGGTCTGAACTATATAATAAGCTGCTATAAGGGGCATCTTGACCTAAGGATAGTGCTTTTTGTATCTCATTGGTGTCCAAACGATATATTTATAAAGGCCTAACCAATTCAGGCCAAAATTTGATATAAACGTTTCATACCCTCCCCCCTACCCTATCCCCTTCCTACCCCCAACCCCCCCCCTAGCGCCGCCACTGTCTATCAGCGAGCACCGGATGGCATTTGTGTAGGAAATTTGCTATAAAAGGCCAGTGTGAGTGATAGGTACTTACACTGGTTTCTGAACGTAAATTTCACTCATACAATGCAGCTTTGAGATGAGAAGAGAAGAAAATTTCAGCCAGTCAACAACCAGATTCAACAACAGTCCAATACCATATCTCACAACCCTCATTAATTAACAATTGTAGATTTTTTCTTTCATAACCCAAATTTCCATATTTCCCTCATTCTCATCTTTACGATTCGACATCCGTTGGAGCTGCGACACGCACTACCTCTTATGGGCTTGACTTCGCTTGTATAAGGCGCCCGTGTATGGGTCACCTTCAGCTTAAGTGTGAGTTTTTCTTTTAATTCATTTGTTTGTCCTATTTACGGTAATAATATAATTTTTTAATGTTTTCCTTGTCTTTTTTGAAAATGTGTACAGCTTTTTTTAATGAAATTTTATTGTTAACAAATGCCGCTTTAATGAATTTTTTTGTTAACAAATGCCGCAATTCAGCCTTTTGGCTGCCACGAAATTTTTAATTTCACTGGGTTGTTTTGAAATAAAGATAACGATATACATATAATACATACATACATACATTATAGGCCTACATACATATGCAAAATCAAAGTCAAACAGGTTGTAATCTGCCTCTGAGTGAGATTTATTTATACGAAAGGTACATAATATAGATTGACAGAGGTTGATAACCGAAAATGTTTGCTCTTCTGATTTATATGGCAAGTTTATGGGAGTTTTTTTTTATTTACTATTTAAAAAAGTATATATATATATATATTATATATATATATATATATATATATATATATTTGCCAATGCAGTTTTCCAGTTTTTATATAAATAATTGATACCTGTATATCTAAAAGCCTAGTTTATAATACATACTATCTTTTTTGTATAGCTTCTAAATATCAACGATAAATAATCTTCTTAACGAGATGAACTGACTTGATTTGTACTATTACCAGGAAAATCTTAAATTATAAACATGTATTGAAGAAACAATATTCGTAGGCCCACCTATTATCTAAATATATCTATTTGGATAAATTATTATAATTATTAATATTAATTAATATTTTTTTAACTTCTTAAGAAATAAACATCATTTAAAACTCGCACACAATGAAAATGGTTTAGTTTAGCAAGTTGGGAGAGAAAACAAGCACTTGGGTCTTCTCGCAGCATATGCAATCTGAAACCTTGCAGTGACGGACTCTTTTGTCTTTTGCAAGATGTACCGACGTGAAATAGAACGATAATTCCACTATATTACTTCCATTCAATCAAAAAGACTGTCTGCGTTACTCCAATTTTTATAAACATAATTAACTTCCAAGTTAATGTTTAATCCTTATTTTTTATAGCAAAAAAAAAAAAAAAAAAAAAAAAAAAAAAAAAAAAAAGAAGCAAAAAAGCGAAACAAAAAAGGAAGTAATAACACTTTTAGTACTGTACCAGACGAACCACAACTTAAATATGGGTAGAATTAAACCATAGTTTCTTCACCGAAGAGACGCTATTTATACGAAGTCATAAAGTTATTTCAGAAACAGTGTGCGTAATACCAGTGTGATAAATACCTTTATTGGTGATAATAAAACTCCAGAATAAGGGAAAGATCAATATTGACTTTACTTCATGGCTCCACCATATAATTCGTGTACTATTTGATCACCTGATGTGTTCGTGTATTACAGCTTTATTTGAAAATCAGTTATCCAAAATTTAAACTCTGCCACATCATGAAATTATGGTCGTCTTATTGTTAACTTATTAAAATACACCTAGTTCCGTCAAATCAACCTTTAACATCGTATCTTAGTATTCAAGCTACTTGACCGTAAACGTTTAATAAGTTGTTTAGCTTCCTAAACGGTAGGCATTTTCTTACCTTAAAAGTAAGACACATAGTCTAATATACCGTATTATGCTCTCTTTATTTTGTATTTATCATGCTATCTAACATAAAGAAAGAGTGATAAAATCCGTGAAGACAACGTCCTGTGGACACGAGTGCAAGATTAGATTAGAAGACAGCGCTCTTTGAATATAAATGA